AGACCAAGACGGTTTTCAATTTTGGCAGCTAATTGGAACCAACTGAGGAATGTAAATATACTGAGGAGTGGACCTACCCCTAGAGATTCTGATTCAATTGGTTAAGTCCAGGCATTAGAAGGGATTCTAATGGATGTATTGTGTTGGAACCTACAGGTATAGGAGAATAGTTTTCTGGATTCTAAAAAGCTGATGTGAGTAATGAATCTGACATCACTTGGAAGATATTCTCCCCCCTCCCACACTCCAATTTCTTGCTCTTTCCATTGTTTCCCCCCCAGCATACATCTCCCTTCATTTTCTGCTCAATCAAGGTCCCCACAGATGAAACCAGAGATTCCCCCACCTAAGAGTGCTGTTCCACATCCGAGATCAATCCTAATTGGAGACATGTTAAGCTGCTTCAGCCCCACTTCTGTGCTCCCAGATGACAAAAGTGAATCTCTTATTCTGCCTGTTAGCCAGGGCCAGTGCAGCTCTCTAGAGCTACATCTGGCCACTTAATCCAATTAGAAAATGGACAAAAAGCATGAACTGATAATTCACTGGTGGTGAATAGCTATGGGGAAAGATATTGAACATCTTTAGCCATCATGGAAATTCAAATTAAAAACACAAAGAAAACTTAAGGACACCTATACCTATCAAAATGGCTAAAAAAATATGGACCACACCAAATGCAGGCAAAGCTTTGGACAGATAAAGCGAGTCACTCTTACATTGCTAATGGGAATGTAATATGGTACAGGCACTCTGCAAAAACAATTTGGCAATTTCTTTGAAAATTAAACATGCAATTACCATATTGTACACCAATTGCACAAAGGCAATTAGCCCAGAGAAATAAAAATTTGTGTTCATGCAAAAACCTGTACATGAATAAAACTCCTAAGAGTTTTATTCATAACTAGAGGCCTGTTGGACAAAATTCGTGTACTAGGGGTGGTCCCTCAGCTGGGCCTGCACCCTCTTGCAGTCCAGGCGCCCTTGCTCCTTACCGCCCACCTGCTCACTGCTCCTTAGCGTGGCTCGCTTGTCCTTAGTGCTGCTGCGGAGGCGGGAGAGGCTCCCGCCACCACTGCTGCACTTGCCAGCCCTGAGCCCAGCTTCTGGCTGAGTGGTGCTCCTCCTGTGGGAGCACACTGACCACCAGGGGGCAGCTCCTGCATTGAGCATCTGCCCCCTGATGGTCAGTGCACATCATAGTGTCCGGTCATTCTGGTTGTTCTGTCGTAAAGATTGCTTAGGCTTTTATTATATAGACTAGTGGCCTGGTGTATGAAATTCATGCACATTAAAAGGGAATTGGAGGAAATATTTTAATATTGCTATTTGCCCTTTCTCTATAATAGAAGTATCAGAGCTGAAAGAAAATTAGTAAAATGTATATGAAAATTTCCTCCTGTCAAAGTCTGGGGCACGCTACGGGACCCAGAGTCAAGTCCCCGCCCACCCGTGTGCACCTCGAAATCACGCAAGACCCAGACCCAGCTGGCCCCACCCACATTGGGTGAGCTCTAGACCTAGCTGGCCCTACCCCCGTCAAGCCCCACCAGGTGGGGGGTGCGGCCTGAGGTCCCCTGGTATGGCACTGAGGCACACAGCCTGAGGTCCCCCATCAAACCCTACTGGGTGGGGGGCTTAGCCTGAGGTCCCCTATCCAGCCCTGCTGTGCTGGGGGCACGGCCTCAGGTCCCCCGGCCAAGGGTGGGGGGGCACAGCCTGAGGTCCCCCTTCAAGCCCTGCTAGGTGGGGGGCATGGCCTGAGGTCCCCCGTCAAACCCTACTGGGCCAGGGGCATAGCCTGAGGACCCCTGTCAAGCCCCACTGGGCAGGGGGCTCAGCTCAGGTCCCCAGCCCCGGCGCCACACAGCCTCAGGTCCCTGCTGCTTGCTCGTTATGGCTCGTTACAGGAACCCCGCTTCCACTGTGGGTGCAGCCATCTTGTGATGGCATGAGGGAGTGAGGGTCAATTTGCATATTATCTCTTTATTATATAGGATAGTTACAAAGTGAAAATAGCCCAGATTGCCTTCAACAGGTGAATGGTTAAACAAACCATGGTACATGCATACCATGGCATACTACTCTGCAATAAAAAGGAACAGACTATCGATACACTTAACTTAGATGGTTCTCAGGGGAATCATGCTGAGTGAAAGAAACCCATTCCAAAGGTTGCACACTAGAAGATTCCATTTATATGACATTTAAAAAATTACAAGTGTTTGAAAGAGGTTAAGATATGGGGCCAGAGAGAAGCTTGTTCTGGTATGATGGGTAGCACAAGGGAAAGTTGTGGTGATGGAACAGTTTGTATCTTGTTTGTGGTGAGAGTTATAGAATCTACATGGCTGGTAAAAGTGCATGGAAATAAGTGTATATAAAACTGGTAAAATCTCAGTAAGCTCTGTGGACTGTACCAAGAGCCATTTCCTGTTTTGATATAGTGCTATAGTAATGCAAGATGTTATTGTTGCAAGATGGTGGAGGGTATAAATGACCTCCCTGCACAATTTTTAAAACTTCTGGTAAATCAATGAATATTTCAAAATAAAGAAGTTAAAAAAACAACATAGAGGGGGGAAATAGGGTTAGGTACACAACTCTCTAAACTTTGTCAGTGAAACTTTAGATATAAGACAAGAAGTGAATAAAAAGCTTAGCATAATTTTAGACCAGTAAAATGATCAAGAAATTCATAAATACTACAATGAATATGGCACTCTACTTGATAAAGGTGTTGTCTGTTTATAGAAGTGAGCATCACAGCTTGTGCATTACTCTGAAGTGGTGCAGAGATTATCAGGGTACAGGGAGCAAAGCTTGGATTTTAAGGTAGTCCAGGAATGCAGTTCCTACTCCATAATTTTCAAGCACTGTGAAGGCCTGATATAAATGCTAGAGACTGCCATGAATGAAGGGGAAGACTGGACCCTCTGGTCTTGGCCCTGTTGGCTCATGGTTGGGACAGGGGAAGAGCAACCCGAGACACAAAACATACAATTTGCAATGTAACTCTTTAATATGAAAATAAACAAGGATATTGAGTGGGAAAAGTACAGAACAATTGGCAGGCTTCAAGGTGAACTTTGGATTCTTGGTTAGTCTGGCTTCAACCTTAATCATGGATGTGGCCTCAGGTTGCAAGAGAGATATTACAAATATGATGAGGATGAAAATGACAGCACCTAAGGGCTCATTTCCTGGGCTTTGTTTACAAGATCCTAGGTCACTGCATGAAGGCCTCCTCTGGGATCTTGCTCTTCATCTAGAGAAAGTCAAGAGAGAGCATTGGGAAGACAGCAGAGTAAAGGCCACTAAGATTTATCCCCAGGCCACCTGACTTCTGTCCACTTGACCTTGCTAAAAGCCTGGGACCGATTTCTTTTTATATCTAAACTAGAGGCCCAGTGCATGAAATTCACGCATGGGGGTGTGTGTCCCTCAGCCTAGCCTGCACCCTCTCCAATCTGGGATCCCTCCCACAATCCAGGACTACTAGCTCCCAACCGCTCGCCTGCCTGCCTGCCTGATTGCCTCTAACCACTTCCCTGCCAGCCTGATCACCCCCTAACCACTCCCCTGCCAGGCAAAACCAAATTCCATGTCTTTTTAATAATATGCTAAAACATTATCTAATAAGTTTATCTAATGATCATCTAACTTAGGAAAATAAGCTTTATTATGGTTTTATTAACCTACTAGAGGCCTGGTGCACAAAATTGGTGCATGGTGGGGTGTCTCCCAGCCTGGCCTGCACTCTCCAATCTGGGATCCCTCCCTTGCTGGCCTGTTTGCCCCCAACTGCTCTCCCCTGCTAGTCTGATTGTCCACAACTGCCCTCCCCTGCTGGCCATCTTGTGGTGGCCATCTTGTGACGACGTGAGGGCAGCCATTTTGTGGTGGCCATCTTGTGTCCACATGGGGGTGGCCATCTTTGACCACATGGGGGTGGCTGTCTTGTGTGTTGGAGTGATGGTCAATTTGCATATTACCTCTTTATTATATAGGATTCTCAGACTTCACTTTTTAATGAGGAAAGAACTTTAAGTTTGGGTGTCATCTCATCATTGTACTAAAAGAGCTGATGGTGGGGGAGGACAGATGACCTCCCTTAGGACCAAGTGGAGACACTTTGACCTCACAATGTCACTGCTATATCTTGCCACAGAAAGAAGCCTCCAAATTTACCAAGATATATGCACCAGGAAGACTAAGTGGCACTCATGTAATGCTGAAAAGGCAGTGAAAAGACAAATAATTATCAACTGGAGGCCAGGTGCATGAAATTCGTGCAGAGGTAGGGTCCCTAGGCCTGGCTGACAATCAGGGCCTATTGGGGCCTGCTTTCCCTCGGCTGCTGACGGCTGGCCAGGGCCTTCCTTCTTTTTGCGCCACCCCCTGGTGGTCAATGTATGTCATAACAAGAGGTCAAATTCCCAGTCAGTCGAACTCCCGAGGGGATAATTTGCATATTAGCCTTTTATTATATAGGACTAGAGGCCCAATGCACGAAATTCATGCAAGAGTAGGCCTTCTTTCCCCTAGCTGCCAGCACCAGCTTCTCTCTGGCACCTGGGACCTCGGCTTCCCTTCAGCCACAGGCAGGTACGTGGAGCCCAGGCTTCCCTTGCAGCCGCGGCTTTCTTCAGAAGGACATCTGGTCTAATTAGCATATTACACTTTTATTATTATAGATAATAGCTTATGGACTACTGGAATTCAACTGCTTAATATATAGATCTTAGGTAGCTTAACATATACTTAAAGGAAACTACATTGGTGCTAATAAAAAAATATCAAAACAGTGTATACAGTAGGAAAACTGGGTTTTACTAAATATTGCAATGTACTAGCATAAAATTAAGGTTTTTTCACATGTGAACTTTTGTTTAAAAAAAGGAAAGATCTAAAATAATTACTGTTAAGTTCCCACTATGCAATCCTCCCAGCTCCCTCCTATCCCCATGAACACCCATCACTCACTTCTGAGACTACTAGAAGCTCATCCCAGATGGGGTGGAGGAGACTTGTTCCATTTTTTGCTGCTCCTGAGAGAGGGTGGGCCCAGTACTGAAGGAAGGCATGGGCACTTGGGTGGGAAATGCATTCTGAGTCTTGTTGGGGGTGACATCCCCCACAAACAATTCATCATTTAGGATACATAGGCTGGAGGAAAAATGGACTTTCAGACAACTGATGGACAGACAATCCCACACCCTCAACAATGATCCTGCTTCCACTACCACTCAGCAACCAGATTCCTCCCATACCCACCTGTATCTGCTCTCCAGATACCTTGCCTGGTAGCTCTGCCACTCCCACTGAACCTACCCTTGGAGAGATTGTCAACAAGCTTCACTAGATTTGTACCCCTAACCCCATTGCATTTACTCTATATAATAGCTCAAGGGAGAGGGTAGTCTAATCCCATTTTCAGAGGAAGACAGGGTCAGAGAGAGGTAATGCAAATTCACTAAGAAATAAGTCTAGTGAGTTTTGGGGTCATGAACAGAACCTGAAAGAAACCTGAAACATTTTCGGTGTTCTAACTCCAGAGCTCATACTCTTGACCCCCATGGAGGACTGTTCCTTAGATATACCTTTTAGCTTCCCACAATACTGAGAAAGCCCCAAGGTCATGTACTGCCACACTCCCACAGCCCTGAGCCCAGGCTGGGCTGCATGTTCCCACCCAGAGCACAGTACTCACCTGGAATTGTTAGCAGGGGTAGCAATGCAGGTCCGGGTGAAGGCACACACAGAATCCTGAGACTGTCCTTCCCCTTCAAAAACAAACATCAACACCCACCTTGGAGTCGCAAATGCTTTATACTCTCAGACAGTGTTCCCCAGGCAGCATGGGACTCCATACTCATGTCCAAGGGGACAACTGTTCACTGGGAGTCTGGGCATCTGGAATGGGGATGGCAACAACAGGAGCAATCTTCTCCCATTGACAAAGACCTGACTATATGGCAGACCCTGGAACAACCGTTTCCGTTCATTTGATTCATTTTTTGCAGCTACCCAAGAGGTGAGTATTATTAGCTGCATTTGGTTAGGTAAAAGGCCCATGTTCTCACAATCAGGATCTGGAATGACAGCCATCAAACCCCACACCTGTGTACCCAAAGCCCCAGCTGTATGGGGCTGACAGACATGGACACAGGTCAGACCAGAATGGTTTGGGGACAGACTGGAGGCCAAACACACACAAGACAGTAATAAAAGGGAAGGGATCTGGGAAGCTGGGAGAGTTCTGAGAGGGAGTCCAGCCAGGGGAAGGTATCAGTGGGGCATGTGGGGAGGACATTCCACACACTCACCTTCCTTGAATACCCCATGGACACGAAAGAAGAACAGGCTTTCCTGAAAGGGAGGAGTGCAGTTGCTCAGCCAGCCACGAGTTTGACATGCTTGATCTACACCTGTTACCCACCTGTGTCTTTCTGGGCCTACCTGGGGGAGGAAGAGGATGCTCTCTGACTGGAACCATATGTGCACGATAAAGGAGTTGAGGTCATGCTGAGTTTTGGGCAACACACAGAGGGTGCTCACAATGTCGTATTTTGTATGTCTCAGCAGCCGAAAAGGCACGTCTGTGAGGGAAGGACAGCAGAGGTCAGGGTTGCCACTCCCTGGGGCCTATGACTGACCCTTCATGCCCCCTTTCCCTGCCCAATCTTCCCCATCCCACACGCACTGGAGTTCTGGAAGTTCTTCATATACTCATTATCCCTGAGGTACTCAAACAAGCGGCTTCTAGGAGAAAAAGAAGAATAGGATGTGGAGATCTGGCCAGTAGGGGTGTTTCCATGAGCAGACTGGTTTCTGCTGGGGAGACATCCCCCCCCCCTCCACCAGAAAAAGAGTTTGAGCTTTGATACTCACGGGGCTGGGTTGTTTGGAATGTAGGGAATAGTCAGAGAGAAGCAGGCCTCATCGTGATAAGCACTGAGGAGACTCCATCTGTCTCCAAAGTCATAGATCAAGTAATATCTGTGAGGGGACAATGAAGACAGTCTACCTCTATGGACTGGACCTCAAGAGTGACTTGAAAATTCTTAGGGCAAACCTGTGCTTGAGTGGACTGGACTGTCCTAGCCCTACACATTCCTGGTGGTTTCTGGGGTACTTACTGATGCAGAAAATGCAGGACTTGATACTTCAGACCATCAGATCCTTTATAGCTTTCCTGGAATCAAAGATATTTGAGACCATGTGGCTGATAAAGCCTCCCTTACAATAGCCCAAATTTTGATCTTTCTTTCTCACCTTTACGGGCTTTAATAAGTAGTGGCTGTCAATGTCAATGTCAATTGGTGGATATAAATCATGTCCATCCTGGAGAAGGGAAGATAAGTTAGCAGTACAGACCAAGGAGGTGGTCTTGGGTGATTAAAAGAAAGGATGTGGCCAGGAGATGGTGAAGGTTGGAGGTCAAGAGTGAAAGAGCCTGCCCAGTTGGCATGGCTCAGTGGTTGAGAGTCAACCTACGAACCAGGTGGTCACAGTTCGATTCTTGTTCGGTGCATATGCCCGGTTTCCAGCTTGATCCCCAGTGTGGGGTGTGCAGGAGGCAGCCGATCAATGATTCTCTCTCATCACTGATGTTTCTATCTCTCTCTTCCTCTCCTTTCCTCTCTGAGAAAAATAATAATATATTTTTAAAAGAGTGAAAGAGCTATGGGCAAGATTCCAATGGGTGTCTGCATCATAAGGTCCTGGAAGTCTCTATTGTTTTATGCAACTTGTGTATGTGTGTTTTTGTGTGCTGTTTCTCTTTCTTTCCCTCCCTCCTTTCTTTTACTGACTCTCCTTTCCTCTCTCTGTGTGTATACATTTTCACAGAGACCATATTCATGTATTTTTCAAAAGTCTATGTCCCCCAAGTGGTAATGGTCTGGTGCAAACATGTAATACAGAGAAGATAGAAAGGGCTTGAGGGCAGGTGTGGAGGTCATTAATAGCAAGAGAAATGATGAATGTAGGCACTTACCAAGCGTAACAACTTGGGGAAACATTTCCTGATGGCGCTGTCCAAATCCAAAAATAGAAAGAAGTGGTTCATAGTTTGGGTTAGAATGCTTCCATTTACTAAAAACACTGATGGCATGAACAGAGACAGGTGTTCTGCCTACCCAGCAACTCCCTTTGCTCTCATCAGTCTCTGATTTCAAAGCTTCTTGGACCACTTCCCTGTTGAGCACTAACCATATACCATATGGAATCTCTGAAACACACAGTCTCTTCACCTCTCTCCACACCTTCATATTCATATTACTTCTCTTACTTCTTCCCTTCCTCACCTTTCCCCTCTCTCTCTTCCTCCCTATTTTCCTGGTTACTCCTTCTCCAGTGCCACAAGACATAGCATTTGGATCCCAGGCTCCAGGGCTTCTTCCCCCTCCCTGCCTCCTTTCCCTTCCTCTAGGCCACCACTTATGGCTCCAGAGAGAAGAGGGAAAGTGATGGGGGCTCAAGTTTCTGCTACCTCACTGGGGGTCAAGTATCTGCCAGGAAAAGACATGCCCCAGAGAAGGCCCAGGACTCTGGGGTAGGGAGGGAAGTGAGGGAGGGAAAAGGAAGGAGATGAAGACAGAAGGAGAGTGAAGATAGGAGCGGAGATTGGAAAGAAACAGAAGAATAGAGACAAAGGAGATAGAAAAAGAAAAGTAAAGGGAAGAGAAAGAAGCTCTGCCCTGGCAGTGGAGGTGGGGCCAGGAAAGAAGAGAGAAGAGAGGGGACATGGTTCCTCTGCGGCAGTCCTTTCCTTCATCTGCCCCTGGATGTCCCTGGGTCTCCAGGTAGGAATGGAAAACATGCACCTGTTGGCCTCAGGGCCATGGGATGTTGGTAAAGCCTTTGTCACCTGTTAATCTGAACTGGGCATGGGAAACGCACCACCCATGGGATCAGGAGACCTTCCCCAGATGGAGTAAGGATCAGTCCCCAGTTGAGCACAGGGTCAAGGGTCTGTGGCCCTCTCTTATAGTTACCACCTACCCTCCTCATGGCCCCTGTGCACCTATGTCTGTCTTAGTTGGTTCCTTTTTTGAGGAATCCTACCTGTTTAAGGTTACTCAGGGGTCCTCTGAAGGACCAGACAGGTGATGTGATATGTTGAGGGAGGGCCAGTGACACTGACAGGGCTGTCCTTCTGTCTCCTCAACCCCCTCTTCCCTCTGCCTTCCATTGCTGCAAGAGGCCCTCTGCTCACTGCCTGTGGCTCACTTATGGCCCCCAATTCAGGAAACCCTGACTTCTACCAAGGATGGCCCCTCCTTGATATTGTACTAAAGGAATGCATGTCATGATGACAGCCACCTGAGGCCTGGGCCTTTGGCATGGGGCAGGAAAGTCCCCACATTCACCTGGGATTCTAGTGGAGATCCTTGACATGCAAGGGAAAGGAAGTTCTTCCCCAAATAGTTAGGGATACTCTGTATCCTCTCAGAAGCAGGAAGGACTGTCTCATATGCGCCTGTGGTGGAGGATGTTTCTCACCCCAGATCAGCAATATCTGCCTGGAGGCTCAACACTCCTAGACCTGGTGAGTGGGCAGCCCTGTATCCTGGAGCACATTCTTGGTGGGCAAGCTGGAGAAAACTAGATGCAGAGTCAGGAGCCAGACCCCAGACCATGAGAACCAGTGAGCAGGTCAGAGGAAGGGTAGAAGACCTCTAAGCACAGGTGAGGGATACAGAGAAGAGAAGGTAGGGTTTCTACTCCTACCAAAGAACCAGGGCTGCCACCATCTGTGACATGGCACTGTCAGAGGTAGTTTATGCTCCCAAGAGTCAAAGAACCCCAGGAATGATGAAAGGGGCTCACACTGACCTTATGTAAGTAGACTGGTCTAGAAAGGTGCCGCACAAAGGGTTATCTTCCAGCCACAGCTCTTCCAGTTTCAGGCCTTTGATTTTGCACAACTCCCAGGTAGAGTTAAGCTGAGAAATATGGGGGGGGGGGGAACGACTGAAAAATAGTCCAAGGGAAAAGGGACATCTGAGCCCCTGAACCCACAGCCCACTCCCTTCCCCACAGGTACCTTCCCTTACCTCTTGTTATCACTCTGATAACCACTATCACCTACTCTCAACCCAACGTTGATCTGCCTCTCTTCTCACCTCATTTTTGGAAAGGTCCAAAATCTTGACTGTGGGTGCCACCTGTGCAATATCAGACAGGCCATCCAGTTGGTACAGTCTGTTGTTGTGTAAGTTCAGGGACAACAGCTTTGGGGAAGAAGAGGTAGAGTGATGCTTACTATCTAGGACCTCAGAGACAAATCTGTCCTCTGTCCCATCTGTTCCACCCCCTATCATACCAGCACTGGGTCTAGGGCCTCACCTCAGGGAAATTCTTTTTGCATCATATCGTTTGTACATGGTCAGCTACAGAGGGAGATGGAGAGAGAACTCTGAGGCTGTGGTGGTGATAGGGAAATCGGGGCTGGAGGAGGAATAGGGGAGGATCTGAGGGCGAACATGTACTGTTGAGTCTGCATTACCGTTAGCTGTTCAATTATTTCTGGCTCCAACTTATCCCGCACAGAGTAGGGTACAGCAGAAGTATTGACAAAGATAGCTATCTGCAGGAAGAAGATTGGTTAGCACCACAAATCCTTGTCCTACAGAAAGTGACCAGCTCTGCCTGTCTTCCTGCACAGGGACTAAGGACAGATAAAGACCTTGACACATACCTTTTGGTTCTCCTCATCATAAATCTTGTTGCTGACATCCTTCAATGCAGAGGCAGTGTGAGCATCCTGGACAAAGAACCGGGCCTTGTTTTGCACATGGTGAAACTATAGGGATTGAAGCAACAACCATAGTGTTAGAAGCCAAAGGCCCTAGCTGAACTGGGTTTCTCCCCCTATGCTGTGTCCCCCTCATCTGGCTTCACCATCCTCTTACGTCCACTGGAGTGAAGGGGACACTGCAATGGCTCTGGATTGAACCCATTAGCCATGTCCGGTCATACTTTCTTCCATAGGGAACCTAAGGGCGAAAAGGGCATGGAGACAAAAGGGACAACATGAAAGAAGGCTGGAGAACAGACCCAACACAATGTTTTTTTTCCTACCTTCTACTGAGCGTTAGGGCTTTTAAAGAAGGGGCCCTGGCATGATTTCTTATGTTTGTGCAAAATATGTAGTTCTTAAGTCCATTATGTCTCCATTTATTTTTTAAAGTATACTTTTATTGATTTCAGAGAGAAAGGGAGAGAGTAACAGAAACACTAATGATGAGAATCACTGACTGGCTGCCTCCTGCATGCCCCACATTGGGGACCGAGCCCACAACTGAGGCATGTGCCCTGACCCAAATCAAACCACGACTTCTTGGTTCAGAGGTCGATGCTCAACCACTGAGCACATGGGCTGGGCTATTATCTCTCCATTTGAAGCTCTCCTCCCCATAAACAACTTAAGGTGTTAAGACATTTTCTTCCTTTTATAAAGTTCCAGGAGATCCTGTCTAGGACACTGCTTGCCCCTCTGAGAAGTTTTCCAGAGACTCGAGCCCCCATCTCCCATATCCAGCTTGAGTCAAACTGAGATATCTAGTGTGGACTTGCTCCATTTCCTTGACAGTAATCCCACCTTTCCTTTTAGACAGCCCTCTCTGTTTATCATATAGTCAGTCTGTTTCCTTATATTGCTTCTCTGAGTTTGCCCTTAAATGGTTAAGTAATAAAGAGGACAAATTGTAAACTGTTCCCAGAAAAGTACCGAGCGTCTCTACGTGAGACCAACACAGTCCACCTGACCTTTCTCTTCTGCACATGTCATACATTTTTTTCAGGACACTCACTGTGACCTTGAACCAACTCCCCAGGGTTTGATCTTGTATGTTCTCCTTTTCACTCCTGAGATGTGTTCCATTACTGCAGAGAATAACACGCAGACAGTCTCTTCTATACCACTGCACTCTCCTCCTGCCCTGTCTTCTATAGGGAGTGCTGCTGGGGGGAAGAAAAGGGTGGCCATGAATGCTAAGAAAGTCTTCTATGCATCCTTCATCTCTGGCACCAGGACTACAATTAGGATTGCTCAACCATGATTTCACTTCTAACATTCTTCAGTTTTCCAATGAGAGAAGAAAAGGAAAACCATGGACAGTGAAATAGTTGCATAGTCCTATGGGATGCTACATGCAAACCAGGCTGCCTGGTCACTTACTGTCTGTTTTGGTACCTCTGGACTCTCCTTATCTCCATGTTTTCATCATCCTTCAGGAGGTCTGGAGGCTGACGCTCATATCCACCATATTGATAATGACCGGTCCTGTCTCCAAAATTACCTAGCAAAGAACTCCAACCTTTCTCACTTCCTTGAGGTGAAGCCCAACTACCATCATCATTGACTTCTGAAATAAGGAACAAAAATACAAGTTTGGAGACATATTTGTGCCCACTTACCATGTACCATGTCTTAGGCTAACACCATGACAGGGCAACTAAGTGCCAACCTGCCCTAAGAGACCAATCCCACAAACCTCAGATAGGAAACACCTCTGCCCGTCCAAATAGGAGAGCCTTATCTGACAGATGGTGTTATCAGAGAAGTGGTTCAGGATGAGGAAGGAGGAGCAAGAGCAGGAAGAGAAGGAGATAGGGGAGGAAAAGGAGGTAACTGTTGAACCTTTTTAAAAAATGGAGCAGGATTTATAAAGAACAGAGGTGTATACATTCATGGGTTAGACTGGACACCAACCATACATCAGGAAGGCTGTGCTTCCTTTGCCAGTGTAGTACAAGCTTTAATATCAAGTGGAACCAAGGGGCCAGCCTCCTAAACTGTCTTCCTCCATTGTGCCTTGCCCCCAACAATATTCTATTTGAAATACCCAGGGTGAGCTTTCTCTTTGCCCAGTCTGAAATGTCTTTGAGTTCAGGAGACAGCTCTTCCAATCTCAGCTTTTCTGTAACAAGGGTCTGAACAACAAACTAGTTACTGATCTCTAATTTGCTCCCTCTATGGTCAGAGAACATGCTCTGTGTAATTTCAATTCTTTTTAAACTTGTGGGGGTTTTCTTTGATGGCACAGGAGATGGCCTGTCTTGTTGAATATCATATAGACACTTGAAAAATACTTTACTCTGCTGTTGTTAGGAAAAGTGTTCTATTTGTCACGTAGATCCTGTTAGTTCATTGTGTTACTAAGATCTATATGCTGATTTTCTAACAGTTCTATCACTTGCTGAGAGGGGGGTTTTGAAGCCCAACTATCATTATGGACTTGGCTATTTCTCTTTTCAGCCCCATCAGTTTTTGCTTCATATACTTTTTGACCCTGTTGTTTGGTGCATTCATTTTTAGGTCCATTATGTTTCCCTGATGGATTGCTTTTTTTAAAAATATATATATTTTATTGGTTTTTTACAGGGAGGAAGGGAGATAGTTAGAAACATCGATGAGAGAGAAACACCGATCAGCTGCCTCCTGCACATCTCCTACTGGGGATGTGCCTGCAACCAACGTACATAGTACATGCCCTTGACCGGAATCGAACCTGGGACCTTTCAGTCCGCAGGCTGACGCTCTATCCACTGAGCCAAACCGGTTTCGGCTGGATTGCTCCTTTTATCATTGTGTGATGCGCCTCTTTAATAAGTTTCTTATAAATTTTCTACTTTATTGGAGATTGTAGCCACAGGTATGCTTATTAAGTGTCTTGGTTATATTGCACTCTGTATTCATTCCTAAGTTGTATTTATATTCACCCCTGCCCCCCAAAACACTCCTGCCAACATATGTAATTCAACATGTGGAAGGATTTGGCAGTATTTTTGGCATCTATAGAATAAGGTGGTATCGACTGTCTCTCTCATATGTGGATTCACTAAGGGTATTTTATTTTTATCATATTCAACTGAAACTGACAACACTGGTGGTTTTGGGGGACAGGAAGATTATGGGAATTATACTGTTAGAAACCAGCTTCGTTTGGGTTCTCATATTTAATATTCTCTAGGTTTGTGTTGTACATTTTGTACATTAATTACTCCATATTGTATCAGTGCAACTTATAAGTAAAAATCCATTCATTGCTGATAGTTCCAACCAGACCTCATGTGAATTCCTCTGGGGCGTCATTGCTGTCACTGTGTGGCCCACTGTCAGGACAATCCTATAACTCACAGCCTTTAAGATGTTCCATGTGTGGCACTGGAAGTGAAATTGAGATATTCTGATCTCTTATATCCTTGCTCATTTTTTTAAAAAAAGTTCTAATTTATTTTTTAAAGAGAGAGGGAGAGAAAGAAAAAGATGGATATGAGAGATAAACATCAACTGGTACCCTCTCATATGCACCCAAACTGGGGATCAGACTTGCAACTAAGGTATGTCTCTTGAATGGGAATCAAACCCATAAACTTTTGGTATATGGGATGACACTCCAACCAAATGAGCCACCTGGCTAGGAAACACATTGTGATGGTTTTTTATTGTTGACACATTATAATTTTTATTTGCATATCTCTGTGGGGCACAGCTATAGGACTGACATGTTGGCAAAGTCACAAACAATTCCCAGCTTAGAAGGCACAGTCCTCTTAGCATAATTAGGCTTGCTCCCTAGATCTTATCTGGGAAGCTAATGGGCTGAAGGAGGTGCAGCAAGTGCTGCCAAAACAAGTGAAACTCAGAAGAAGTTAATGGGCTGAGGGGTAGGGGGTACAGCAAGTGCTGCCAAAACAAGTGAAACTCACAAGAACAGTGTAACTATGGTAACCACTACCTTGATTACCTCTGGATCTCTCTCTGTGGCCTCAGCCAGGCACACAGAGAATAACATCTGAAAGCTTTCTCTGTGTTCTTCATTCTTTGCTGACTTCATCCACACCTTTGGGAACCCCTGGCCCGCTGGGGCTGGACCCCGGCATATCTCTTAGTGATGTTTCCTTCTATTCCTTGCTTGTGGAGTTGTTTAATATTATGGAAGGGTGTTGTTGAATCATGTCAAATGTTAACAGCTGACAACAGCACCTTCTTCCATACACCCATCTGTTTTCTTTCTCATTTTCCAGGGGACTTGTAAAAATGAATATAAATAGCACCTATTCTTCCCTTGTTAAACACCAGATATTGTGCTAAGTGCATGACCTAGTAAAGCTAAGAACTTATGAGTCTTATTGAGTCACAGGTATTTCTCCAGGGGTTTTCAGTGTAGTTGCATATATTAACTCAATTCTTGCAATTACCTCATGACTTAGAGACTGTTACTATCCTCCATTTAAGGAAGAAAAATGTATGTGAGTCACCGTGAAGTCAAAGATAGCTGATCCGGACCATAGAATTTATCAATAGAATTCAAACATTGACCAAGTTCACCTCAAATCCTATGCCCAGAACCAATAATGTGTGACTCTGTGTTAGGGCTGAAGTGAGCCCTGGGACTCACTCAAAAGCTATTAGGCAGCGATGGGTACAGTGTCCGGGACCAAGATGCCCTGAGCTCCAGCCATCTGTTGAAGAGACACATCATTGCACACTGTTCCTTTGTATTGTCTCTCTTTTCTCAGACTCCGTGGGAACTGTTTCTAACATGTGTGAGGCGGTATATCATTGTAGTTCTAACTTGCATTTTCCTAATAGCTAGTGAGGCTGAATATCTTTTCATGTATCTGTTGGCCATTTGTATGTCTTCTTGGAAGAGTTGTCTGTTCAGGTCCTCTGCCCATTTTTTTAAAATTTTTTTAAAAATATATTTTATTGATTTTTTACAGAGAGGAAGGGAGAGAGATAGAGAGTTAGAAATATCGATGAGAGAAAACATCGATCAGCTGCCTCCTGCACATCTCCCACTGGGAATGTGCCCGCAACCAAGGTACATGCCCTTGACCGGAATCGAACCTGGGACCTTTCAGTTTGCAGGCCGACGCTCTATCCACTGAGCCAAACCGGTTTTGGCCTCTGCCCATTTTTTAATTGGATTGTTTGCTTGTTTAGTGTTGAGTTATGAGTTCTTTATATATTTTTCTATATTAACCCCTTGTTGGAGCTGTAATTTGCAAATATCATCTACCATTCATTTGGTTGCCTTTTTGTTCTGTTGTTGGTTTCTTTTGCTATGCAGAGCTTATTTTTTAAAATATATTTTTATTGATTTCAGAGAGGAAGGGAGGAGAGAGATGGAAACATTGTGCTGGGCTGCATATCTGGCACTTCGGCCAGACGGGTCATGCTGTGCTGTCTGTTCCTAAAACACATAGATAGGAACGTACTGACATCAGGCCAGGCCTTGAAATATGGTCTCTCATGGCCCCTTCCCAGGGGGGGGGGGGCAGAATCTGAAAGACACATTTTTCTTTGGGCCTCCACAAAATTTAATAATAAAATGTAACTCTTGCAGTCAGCACTGCAGTTTAGCTTCTGCTTCAGCAGGGTGCTGTAACTGTAGTCAGCTGGCCTGCTTAATAAAAGGCTCTTAAACTTAAATTCTGAGTCGGTGGTCTATCTCGCTGAGTGAACCCATAACACATCTATGATGAGAGAATCACTTCTCCTGTACACCGCACACTGAGGATTGAGCCCGCAACCCAGGCATGGGCACTGACAGGGAATAGAACCGTGACCTCCTGGTTCATAGGTTGATGCTCAACCACTGAGCCACGCTGGCCAGACTGGTCTCATTTTCTTTTCGTACATCAAAGGCATCCTTCTCGTTTTTGCCATTACTTCCCTTGCCTTTGAGGTCAAATTCAGCACTGAAATGTCAAAGGTATTTTTTTATATTTAATTTATTTATTGGTTAAGGTATTACAAATGTGTCCTCATCCTCCCATTAACCCCCAACCCGTGCTTACATACAAGTCATTTGGTTGATCTCTTCCCCTTACCCCCACCCTCCCCTACTTTCCCTCTGGGGATTGATAGTCTGATCGCTGTTTCTCTGTCTTTGGATCTGTCCCTGTTCATCAGTCTATGTTGTTCTCTATATTCCACAAATGAGTGAGATCATGTGGTATTAATCTTTCTCTGACTGGCTTATTTCACTTAACATAATGCTCTCCAGTTCCATCCATGCTGTTGCAAATGGCAAGAGTTCCTTTGCTCACTTTCCAGTCAGTATTGTTTGGGGGCTCTAGCAATTCCATAAGCTTAGATCAGGGACTGGAAAACTATGGCCCATGGGTCAAATCTGGCCTGTGGCATGTTTTTTCTGGAACCTTTAAGATAAGGATGGTTTTTACATATTTCAATTGCTGAAAAATCAAAAGAATATTTTTTGACAAGTGAAAATGATTTTAATTTCAGATGTCAGCATCCATACATAAAGATTTACTGCATACTGTTTCAATTGTGGCTTTTACTCTACAATAGAAGAGTTTAAAAGTTACAACAGTCCTGGCCGGTTTGGCT